AAAGCCTGCTTTGCACTGGGGGTGGAGTTCTCGGGTTAAAATTGTATGTGTCCCCTTACTCATCAGCACTGAAAAAGAGCTGAAGCTTTCTGGGCACTTCTGATTTTCTCTCTGGTGTTTTCGTTTACTTCCAGACCACATGAACTCTCTGGCTCATGCTCTTCTCCCTCTGCATGCTCCAAAGGTAGCAGGGTGCACAGTCTCTGCTTCCCACATCCTCACCTTGAGCTGAGCTGCGAGGCTCTGCGAGCTGCAGCAGGCTGCCAGGGCCTGCCCCTGACTCATCAAACCTGCCAGCTGGCTTTGTGCAACATCTCCTTCTACCCCAAAGCCTGTCCTTGTGTTCTTGTCCAAACCCTCAACCGGGCAGCCTCGACATGGCACTTATTTGGCTTGTATCCAGATTCTCCTGCCTCTGCTAATCTTCTTAAACCCAGGTTTGGCCAAGTTCCAGCCCTGCTCAGAAGCCTTTGATGGGTCTCCTTTGCCTACTGCCCCAATCTCAGTCTGACATTTCCAACCTTCCCAACCAAACACCAGTCTTTCTGGACACTGCTCACACCCACTGCCACTGCAGGCCTGCTTGCTGCTGCCAACCCCCTCTACTCTCTGCACCCAGACCTCCTACACATCCCCACAACTGTGCCATGGCCCATAGCATTCTCCCATCTAGAGGCTCTCTCTTTCTGCTTATCTCAGTGATCAGTCCCACAATAATTGTCTTGACTCCTGCCTCCTGGATTAACCCCTTCCCCCAAGACTACTCCTTCAGCTGACGCCTACAGCAACTCATCCTGTGTTCTCTCCTGGCTCTTATCCCATCCCATTTTGGGTGCCAAATACCTTTCCACATTTCTGAACCAAGGTTCTCTGGATAGAGTCAGGTATCCATAATTACTTAATCAATTCTTGTCTATTTGGATAAATTCTCCTTAATGAATACTACCAACTTGCTACTTTTTTTTTCTGTTCTTTTCATTATTATCATTTTTTAAATCTTTATTGGTGAAATTATTACAGATTTCCCTCTTTCTCCAACCCCCATTGCTCCCCTCCACCTAGTTTCTGCCCCACCCAAAACCTTCACCATCCTATTGTCTTTGTGCATAGGTAATGCATATATGCATATGAGATCTTTGTTTAATCTCTTCCCCTTTCCCACCCCCCCTTCCCTCTGAGAATCATCAGTCTGTTCTATTTCCATGCTTCTGATTCTATTTTATTCACCAGTTTATTCTGTTCATTAGATCTCTTTTTTGTTTATTTTGATTCAATTGTTGATAGGTATGTATTTGTTGCCATTTTGTTGTTCATATATTTGATCATTTTCTTTTTCTTCTTCTTCTTCTTAAAGAATACTCTTCAACATTTCATACAATACTGGTTTCATATAAAAGCTAACTCCTTTAACTTTTTCTTGTATGTGAAGCTCTTTACCTGACCTTAAATTCTAATTGAGAACTTTGCTGGGTAGAGTAATCTTGGTTTTAGGTCTTTGCTATTCATCACTTTGAATATTTCTGGCCTGCATAGTTTCTTTTGAGTAATCAGCTGACAGTCATATGGGCACTCCCTTGTAGGTAACTAACTTATTTTCTTTTGCTGCTTTTAAGATTCTCTTTGTCTTTAGCCCTTCGCATTTTAATTATGATGTATCTTGGTGTGGTTTTCTTTGGGTTCCTTTTGTTTGGGACTCTGCACTTTCTGGACTTGTAAGTCTATTTCTTTCACCAAGTATGGAAAGATTTCTGTCATTATTTTTTCAAATAGGTTTTTAATATCTTGCTCTTTCTCTTCTTCTGGCACCCTCAAAATATGGATGTTTGTACACTTGAAGTTGTCCCTCACACTATATATTCTTGGATTCTTTTTTATTTTTGCTCTTCTGGTTGGGTATTTTTTGCTTCCTCATATTTCAAATCGTTGATTTGATTCTCTGGATCTTCAAGTCTACTGTTGAATCCCTGTATATTATTCTTTATTTCAGCCAGTGTACCAGTATGCTTAATTTCTGACTGGTTCTTTTTTTTTTTTTTTTTTTTTTTTTTTTGTCATTCTCACTAAGATCCTTGAAAGTCTCACAAGTCCTTTGGAGGTTTCTATAAGATTCTTGAGTAACCTTATAACTATGATTTTGAACTCTATATCTAGTAGTTTACTTTCTTCCATTTGTGATATGTTTCTTTGTCTCCACATTTTGGCTGCTTCCCTGTGTTTGTTTCTATGTATTGGGTAGAGCTGCTAATGGTCTCCTTGAGTTGATAGAGTGGCCCTATAGGACACAATGGTTCAGCATCCCCAATCACCTGAGGTGGACAATCTAGGTGCACCCCTTTGTGGGCTTTGTGCACAGTCGATGTAGTTGAGATTTGTTTGCTGTTGGCATCACAGGGAGGAATTGACCTCCAGGCCAATGGCTGTGAGGACCAGCTGCAACTACAGTCGGAGAACTGCTGTGCAGGAGACACCCGTGTGGAGCAGGACTTGCTTCAGTGGGGCTCTGGTGCTCACTAAGTCTGACCCTTGAGTGTGTTGCTGATGGATGTGAAGAGATGTAATCTGGTATGGTTTCCTACTGACCACTGGGTACACTGGCTCTTGAGTTTCCAGGGAGGAGTAAAGTCAGCCCTGCCTAAGGCCCCCCAACAGGAGCTACAGAGAGATCTACAGATTCCTCCTCTTTATAACAGGTTTGGAAATGCCCAGAAGAGGCCCAGATGTGAAGCAAGGCAGGCTGATGCTGGTGCTGGGTCTTGGGCCTTTTAATGATAGGTTTGGGGCTCCCTGACCCAGCTGCAGCTTGTTTGAGATTTCCAAGGACATGCCATTCCTATGCAAAATCCACTCCGCACAGGTTGTGTGGGGCTGAAAATTGAATAGGGCGGGGTCTCAGGGAATCACCAGGGCAGAGCAAACAGAAATGGCTGCCAGTAAGCCTTGCAATTGGGAAGATCCCAGCACAGGAACAATGATCTCTAAAAGCACCTCCATCTGGAAGAAAGCTGCCCTCATGTTCCTGCCCTGATGCCAGACAATCCAGTTCCTCCTCGTATGTGTCACTGACACTGGAGCTCAGAGGAAGCAGGAGCTTGTAAGTTCGGTTTGTGTGCAGACCTTTTAAGAGGAGCAGCTGGGTCTCCAGCAGCTTCTGTGTCACTGAGCCCCAATCCACACTTTTTTTTACAGCTCATTAGCTATGGGGACTTCTTTTCCCAGCTCTGGGACTCTGGGCTAGGCATCTGCCGTGGGCCGGGACCCCTTGCTCCTCCAGGCGGCCTCCACAGAGACAGTCTCCCTCCCGATTAAAAAAGCAGCACACGTGGGTGCCAGACCAGCATGTTCTGTGCTTCCTCGTCTCCTATCAGTCTCAGTGTGCTTTCTTCTTTATGTCTCTAGTTGTAGGACTTCCATTCAGCCAGCAGTTCTGGATGATGGTTGTTCTGTATTTCAGTTGTAATTTTGATGTGGTTGTAGGAGTTGGCCAGTGCAGGCATTTGCCTACGCCTCCATCTTGGTCTCTCTATCCCAACTTGCTACTTTTGCCAGGTGACTCCCCTTCAAGTTAAGACATCTGTTGTCAATGATGGAATATCTCAAACCACCCACCACACGGCTTACCTATCTATAAGGTGATGCATTATAAAATAGACTGTGATGAACTAGGAAGGGGACTTAGACACTAAATCCTGCATTCTCTTAGCTATCTTAAAACTGCTAACACAGAACACTGTCAAGTGATTACCTGGTTTCCCTCCCCCATTACGTTGTGTGCTGGAGTGACAGGATTGGTGTCTGATGTGTTCTATATCTCCACCTGGCACATAACAGATAGTCATCAAGCATTTGTTGAGAGACAAAAAAAGGGATGCGGCCGTCCCACATATTTAGCATTTGAAATCCCCTAAAGGAATCAGTGTTCCTCTCAATTTCCTCACCCACTTCCTGGGCTCTGCAAGTTGCCCGGTGCTCCTAACTCTGGAAAGTCCCTTCCCTTTCTCGCTCTGCAATCTCCAAGTGTCTGGAGGCCCAGGTTGAGCTGCCTCTCTTCTGGCCAGGGGAAGGGAGCCCACACCCAGATGTTTGCCCTTAGACTTGCTTACAAATCCTAGCTGGAATGAAGACCAGTTGCTGGAGGCTCTGGCAGGGCTCCAGGCCGAAGGACAGGTTTTACATTTATGTTTTGTGCACCAGGCACTCCTGCCAGCCCCTCCTCCCTTTCGATGGCTGGGGATTTGCATTTCCTTCCCCAGGCTCACACAGGCTCACTGGGCAACTGTGAGGGCCCAGAGGAGATCCCCAAACTCACATTTCCTCTGAGGACCCTCCTGTGCCCACAAATACAAAATCACCCATTTTGAAATGTCCCCCTCATGTCATAAGGAGGGGCTTTTGGGGGTGCTGGCAATGTTCTATTTCTTGACCTGGGTGGTGGTGAAAGATGAAATAGAGAAGGCCAGAGACCGGGATGCCAGGACACAGGCTTTATTGAAGAGAAGAGTACCACTGCCTGCTGCTTCCAGAGAGAGAGCGTGGAAGAGTGAGGGTGCGGATACAATCACCTTTAAGGGGGGATAGGGGGTGGGGCTTAGGGCACTCAGCACACGCTGATTGGTGGTTTCATGTAAGGCCTATGATTAGGGACCTAGGGACTTAGGAATGGGGGGGGGGGGACTTAGGGTATTTGGCAGGTCCTGATTGGTGGTTCAGTGCTCAGGAATGTCTGGCTGCAAGTGGAGTTTACATCTGTCCATCAGCTGGAGGAAGGGAGGATCTATCAGGTGGTTACAGGATATTTGTATATTATAGTAAGTCATTAAGCCATACATTTATGTTCTATACACTTCTCCATATGTGTAATATATATATATATATATATATATATATATATATATATATATTCACAATAAAATAAAATAAAAAATACAAAAAGAGAAAGCCCTGCCCCTTCCCCAACTCTTAATCTGATGGATCCATTTGAACCCATGCCTCTCTGTGCCCAGCCCCTGCTAGAGAAGGAGATCCTTTGTCTTCAAGGAAGTTCCTGGAAGAAGCAGAGTCACTGAGAAAACAAGACACTGAATTCACCTCTGATTCTATCATGGAAATAACCATGCTGTCGTTGTTTTGAGAAGAAGTCCAGAGGTCAAGGAAGTGGCAGGGCTCAAGCTGGGCCTGAAAATAGAGGTGAGGATTTTAACTGAGAAAATGGTATGAGCAGAAGCTGTTAGGTGTGGTGGCAAGCAATGAAAGACCCTGGTACTGAATACCTTATAGGAGGAAGGCCTACTTAAAGAGCCCTAGATGCTGCCCTTCCCCCGCCCCAAACAATGGCCAAGTGGATGCCACTTGCAGCACAAGCCTGCCTCATTGGAAGGGAGGCATGCGGGCTCTCACGCAGGAGCAGACATGTGGGATTCTCAATTGCCGGTTTGTCTTGTTGTTTTGCTCAAGCCACAGGCCCACTGGCCTCATAATCCCCATTCCAGACAGACCAAGAGTTTCAGCTGCCAGATGCATTACCCGGACACCCACATGCCTACAGATACGGTTGCTCAATCCTGACTTTTAAACCTGCCCCACCTTGCAGCTGCCTTCAGGTCACTGCACTGATCAGCTGTTGAGAAGTGGTAGGGGGCAGGAGAACTCAGGACTGAGTTTCTGGATGGTGACGGTGACAGGCTCTGAGGGGATTCCACCCAAGCCCCGGAGCCCTAGAATCCCGGGATTTCACCCACCATCACCAAGGATGTGGCCGGCCACCTGAAGCTGTGGCTGAAGATGCCATGAAGTGCTGGGTGCTTCCCAAACTCCAGGCAGGACTCCTAAGTGTAATACAGGGAGGCAAGACTAGGCTGTGTTTCCACTTACTTTAGTGAGTGGAAACCAAGTCAGTCACAGGCACTCTGAATACACAGAGTGACTGTGAGGAGGAGCGAGGCCTGAAGCAGAGGAGAGAAACTAATCATGGTAGTAATGGCAGTAGTAATGATGTAACTACCAAGCATGAGGATTAAGCTCAATATTTATTTTATCTTCACAATAACTGTTGGGGAAGTTATTTATATATATTATACAGATGAGGCTTCAAGTGGTGAGCTGCTTTACCAAAGCCATACAAAATGGTAAGTGCAGCGCTAGGATTGAATTTGACAGACTGACTCCTGAGGAGCCAGCGATGCCCAGGTCAACCTCATCTGGGCGTGGGGAGGATGGCCCCTCTCCCCACTGGAGCAGGCAGCCCCTGTGGTGGGTGTGGCCCCCTTAAAGACCATCTGGCAAACTTCGCTTGCTCTGGTTTCTCACTAAACTGCTTTTGGATTGCCTTCCCACGTACAGGGGTGGGGAGGGGAGGAAGGCCGGGATCTGCCAACACAACAGCTGTATTTTTCATTAGTAAATTAATAAACGGGCCGCCTGGTTCACACACGTATCCATTTCTGACATCCCGGTTAAGGCCAGCCTGCCCCAGAGCTGAAGCCCACGGTACGCCAACTTCATTGAGATTCTGAGCATGTGAGGGAAGCCCCCAGCACGGCCTGTGTGCCAAGGAAATCCCTCTTGGCCTCCTCTCACCGACTTGGCCAGCCTTCTCCGGTGACAGCCTGGCTCTTCAGATCAAGCTGCCTGGGCAGACTGCGAGGGTCTGCAGAAAGAAGGCAGAAACATGCCAGGTTCCAATGTGTGTTCCAAGTTCCACATTCTGCCTGCGGACTCCGGGTGCTGGAGCAAAGGCTGGTAAGGGTAACACACATAAGCGGGGGCATCCTAGATCTCCAGCTCTCTCTTCTTACCCAGGGAGCCTTCCCGCGCCCCCCCCCCCACCCCCCCGCCTCATTTAGTTGACTTGTCTTATTTAGGAGCAGAGAATGTTTTGTTCTATGTACAAAGGTGCAGCCTTAAAAAAATTACATCCTAAATTAACGTGGGGATTTTCTTTTTAATTTCTAATAGCAGTTTGTAAGGTTGGTCTTTGTCACCATCACTGGGTCATTTTTCACTGAGCTTGGTGCATCTTTCTGGGACAGTGTTCTATCTTGTTATTGTGTTAAACAAAACCAAAACCACATAACATGAAATCTATTCCCTTCACAGACTGTTAAGTTACAGTACAGTATTGTTAGTAGTGTAAACTATGGCACATTGTTGAATCTCTAGAACTTTTTCATCTTGCGTGACTGCAACTCTATAACTGTTGACATCAACTCCCCAACTTTCCCTCCCCTTTGCCCCTGGCAACCACCGTTCTATTTTCTGCTTTTATGAATTGGTCTACTTTTAATACTTCATGTAAAGAGAATCAGGCAGTATTTGTCCTGTGACTGGCTTATTTCACTTAGCATAATGTCAAAGGTTCACCCATGATGTAGCGGGTTACAGGATATCCTTGTCACAGTTTCAAGTCAAAATAATAAACCATTGTATGTATATACAACATTTTCTTTATCAATTCAATTCCCAATGGCACGTAGGTTGTCTCCACCGATTAGCTTTTGTGAATAAGGCTGCAATGAATGGGGGGGAGGGTCTCTTTGAGGTCCTATTTTCAACTCTTTGGGATAAATGCCCTGAAGTGGGATTGCTAGATCACACAGTAGTTCCGTTTTTAACCTTTTAAGGATCCTTCGTGCCGTTTTCCAAAGATACAACACCATTTTACATTCTCACCAATATTGTACAAGAGTTTCAATTTTGCCATATTGTCTCCAACACATTATTTTCAGCATTTTTTTTTTCTTTTTGCGGGTGTGTGTGTGTGTATGTGTGTGAATAATGGATATTCTTACAAATATAAGGTGATATCATTGTGGTTTTGATTTGCAGTCCCCTGATGATTAGTAATGTTGAGCATTTTCTTATATACCATTTGGGCATTTATATCTCTTATTTGGAGAAATATCTATTCTTTGATATTTTTCTTACTGAGTTGTAGAAGTTTCTTATATACTTTTGATATTAATCTCTTATCAGATATATAGTTTGCAAATGTCTTCTCCTATTCTATAAGTTGCCTTATTGCTATATTGATCATTTTATGTGCTGCACAGATTTTGAGTTTGACATAGTCCTATTTGCTTTTGTTGCCTAAGCTTTGGTTATCATGTCAAGAAGTCATTGCCAAGATCGATGTTATGAAGTCTTTTCCAATGTTTTCTTCTAGGAGTTTTATAATTTTAGGTCTTATGTTTAAGTCTCTAATCAATTTCAGTTGGTTTTTATGTATGTAGGTATTTAATTTTCCCAGTGCCATTTGTTGAGGACACTATCCTTTCTCCACAGTCTTGGTACCCTTGTCAAAAATCATTTCACTGTGTATGTGTGGATTTATTTCTGGGCTCTCTGTTCTGATGCATTGGTCTATATGTCTGTCTTTATTGTGCCATACCATTTTGGTTACTGTAGGTTTGTAATATGATTTGAAGTCAGGAATGTGAAACCTCCAACTTTGTTCTCTTTCAAGATTGCTTTTGGCTATTCAGAGTTCTTTGTGGTTTCCATGTGAATTTTTAGGGTTGTCTTTTTCTCTTTCTTCAAAAGATGCCATAGAGACATTGAATTTGTAGATAGTTTTGGGTAGTATGAACATCTTAACAATATTGTCTTCTAATTTATTAATATGGGACATCTTTCCATTTATTGTGTCTTCTTTAATTTCTTTCAGCAGCATTTTGTAGTATATATTGCACAAGTATTTAGCTTCCTTAGTTAAGTTTATTTCTAGTATTTTGTTTTTTGTAGGTGATATTGTAAATGGGATTGTTTTCTTAATTTCCTTTTATTTATTTATTTATTTATTTTTATTTTTAAAAATATATATTTTATTGATTTTTTTTACAGAGAAGAGGAGAGAGGGATAGAGAGCTAGAAATGTCGATGAGAGAGAAACATCAACCAGCTGCCTCTTGCACACCCCCTACCGGGGATGTGCCTGCAACCAATGTACATGCCCTTGACCAGAATCGAACCTGGGACCTTCCAGTCTGCAGACCGACGCTCTACCACTGAGCCAAACAGGTTTTGGCTTACTTTCCTTTTAGATTATTTGTTGTTAATGTATAGAAATACTATTGATTTTGTATCTTGCAACTCTGAATTTGTTTATTAGTTCTAGCATTTTATTTTTGTGGAATTGTTAGGGTTTTCTAGATATAACATCATGTCATCTGGGTATAGAAATAATTTTACTTATTTCTTTTTAGTAATTTGCATGCCTTTTATTTCTTTCTCTTGCCTAACTGCTATAGCAAGGACATTTAATACCATGTTCATAAAAGTGGTAAGAGTAGGCATCCTTGCTTTGTTCTTGATCTTAGAGGGAAAAACGTTTACTTTTCCATTGTTGAGTGTGATGTTATTTCCTTTTATTCCTAGTTTGTTATGTGGTTTTTATTATGAAAGGGTGTTGAATTTTCTCGAATTCTTTTTCTACATCTATTGAGATAGTCATGTAATTTTATCCTTCATTCTGTTAATGTGGTGTATCACATTGATTGATATTTGTATGTTGAGCCATCCCTACATTCAAGGACAAATCCTACTTGTTCCTGGTGTATGAGCCTTTTAATGTGCTGTGAATTTGGTTTATTAGTATTTTGTTGAGGATTTTCACATTTGTGTTCACCAGGGATATTGTCTTGTAGTTTTCTTATAGTGTCTTTGTTTAACTTTGGTGTCAAGGTAATGTAGGCCTCATAAAATATATTTGGAAGCATTTCTTCCCCTTCGTTTGGGGAGGGGGAAGTCAGAGGGATTGACATTAATTTTTATTTTTATTTGTAGTAGAATTCTCCAACGAAGCTATCTGGTCCTGGGCTTTTGTTTGTTCGGAGTTTTGTTTTGTTTTTTAAATTACTGACTTAATCTCCTCACTAGTTATAGACATGTTCAGATTTTCTATTTCTTCATGTCTGTTTCTTCAGTCTTGGTAGATTATATGTTTATAGGACTCTACCCTTTCTTCTAGGTTTTCCAATTTGTTGGCATATAATTGTTCGTAGTAGTATCTTGTAATTCTTTTTATTTCTGTGGCATCAATAGTAATGCTTTCTGTGTATTGAACCATCACTGCCTAGAAAACTCTGGACTAGGTCTGCCCTAATCATCTCATTATTATTTGATGACAAAAAGGTAGAAAGTATAACAAAGCGAGAACTCTAGGAACCCAGGTTCAAGTCTTCCTTCTTCTAAGGTACGACCTTGGACAGGTAGCTTTCCCTCTCTGGGCCTCATTTTCCTCATCTGTGAAACGAGCAGCCGATAGATGGTCTCCAGGATCTCTTTCTTTGGATGTTAACTCTCTTCTTCCTCCCCTTACACACTCCACAGCTAAGGAAGTGGAACTCCTAAAACTCTGCCCTAATAAAAGGAACCAGAGGGTCTGCCATCTCTCCCTCTACCTCCCTTTTCAGGAGCAGCCATGGCCCTGAGTGATGCCGATGTGCAGAAGCGGATTAAGCACATGATGGCTTTCATTGAGCAGGAAGCCATTGAGAAGGCAGAACAAATAGATGCCAAGGCTGAGGAAGAATTCAACATCGAGAAAGGACGCCTTGTGCAAACCCAACGACTAAAGATTATAGAGTATTATGAGAAAAAGGAAAAGCAAATAGAGCAGCAGAAGAAAATCCAGATGTCCACCATGAAGAGTCAGGCAAGGCTGAAGTTATTGCAAGTCCAAAATGACCTCGTTTCAGAGTTGCTAAATGAAGCAAAGCTGAGACTCATCAGGATTGTGGCAGACCCAGGAGTCTATCAGGAGATGTTGTATAAATTGGTGTTACAAGGTCTGTTCCGACTGCTGGAGCCTGAGGTGATTATACGCTGTAGGCAACAGGACTACATCCTGGTTGAGGGTGTAGTGAGACAAGCCATCCCTCAATACAATACTGTCTCTAAAAAACATGTGAATGTCCATCTTGATGTAGAGATGCACCTGTCTATGAATTCAATGGGAGGTGTGGAGGTCTACAGTTGCGATCAGAAAATAAAAGTTTCCAATACTCTAGAGAGTCGACTAGATCTCTTAGCCCATCAAAAGATGGCAGAAATCCGAAGGACCTTATTTGGAGCCAATCCCAACAGAAAGTTTTTGATATAAACCTCTAGAAAATGAAGCTCGTGTTGAACTTCTGAGCCATAAAAGCATGTTATTAAAACAAATAAAACTAGTCATGTTTCCTCTTCTTTGTTGCTCTGATATTCTAATTTCTTTTAAGAAATACCCTTTGAATAGCTAAAGGCATTCTACTTTGGAATAAGACCTGACTTAATACTTAGGAATCTTTCTCTTATGTACAGGGTCAACTCCATGAGCATATTTGACCATTGTAGTCACTTACACAGGGCTTCATGCTCAAAAGAGTTCAGTGCTTAGCGTTTAATGCTCTGTAACCACTGCCTTGAAATTCTGTTTAAAAAAATTTTTTTTTAATTTTATTGATTTCAGAGAAGAAGAGAGAGGGAGAAAGAGATAGAAACATCAGTGATGAGAGAGTATCATTGACAGACTGCCTCCTGCACACCCTACACTGGGGATTGAGCCCACAACCCAGGCATGTGCCCTGAGCAGAAATCGAACCGTGACCTTCTGGTTCATAGGTCGATGCTCAACCATTGAACCATGCTGGCCAGGCCTGAAATTCTTAATTTAACTTTGAATGTGTGTTTTGTAAGTGAAGCCCCATGTGGCTTCGGAGCGTGCACTGTTGCTTGGAGCCTTGGCTCACACATGGTGCCAACTCCCAAAGCCTACCCATCTCCCTTGAATGGCTTCTTAGCCACCACTTGCCAGCTCCCTGTGCCCCAGCCTTCCTCTTCCTCACCCAGGAAATATTGCTGCCCTTTGCCCCTGAAGAGGACCTGGTGGGCATGCAGGGAGGATCTCAGTGGGGTATACATGCTCTGCAGGGTCTTATGACTGGGCATAATAGTGGCCATCAGCACCCTGGCTGGCAGCTCCATTCAGCAGGTGACTCAATGAAGGTGAGTAACTCTCCCACCAAATACTGGTGTGGAGGTTTAAGATCTGGGTTCACGTGTCTGCTGTGGGTTGGGCCAGCCAGCCTGCTGCAATGGCAGATGCTATAATGGCAGGACTTCCCTGACCCCAGCCAGCACATAGCACATAGATCTGTGGGAAAGAGGACACAGCAGTTGTCAAGCTTACTGGGCCTGAGTCTCAGGGCGGGAACTTCAGGAGCTTATGAGGGTCTGTACTTGCCCTGGCAAGTACCCCCGGGACTGACAGAGTTCCCATCAAACAGCTCAGTCAGTGCCTGAGGAGACTTGGGGTCATCTCTTCCCGCCAGCCTGATGGATATTCTGGGAGAAGCCAAGAAATACACTGTAATTTTAGTGACTCTCCATTTGGGCAGGCACAGTATAAAGATAAATAATAAAATTCACGCTTATGATTTAAACTTTTTATTAACGTCGTCACTAACATTGTAAATAAAAACGACAAATCAAAAGAGAGAATGCAGAAAAAAGGAAAAAGCTTTATAGTTTAGTCTCCCCTTGTTGTACTTTTTGAACAAAGGACACCACATTTTCACTTTGCATTGGGCCCTGTAAGTAATGTGGCCAGTTCTGCATGATATGGTGATTTAGAGTCTAATGTATTGAACTCTATAAATTAAAGTTTCATTTATATTTTAAAATCAAAGATTTTTAAAGATAAAACCCCCAAGTAACTTTGCCAACAGCAAAGGCTGGCTCTTGGGCAGTAAGGACTGTGTAAGGTACAGAGATTTAGGGATGAGTTATTGCTCACCGGGGTGCCTCCCAGAACCAAAGCACAGGACTCTTTCCTGGTCTCAGGAGAGGGCTGGACGTGGGGATCAGAAAGCCATCGGAAATTCCCTGGGTGGCCACTCATCTTCTAACTTTAAGGAGTGGCTTTCTCTACCGTGCAGTTTAAATGATGGCGTGAGCATGCCCCACAGAGTTTACATTCCCAACTTTACATGCCATGGCTCCAGAAACAAACGTGCTTCTCTTGGAGTTGGTTCCACTTTCCTGAGAGTCCATTTGGTCACTTCCCCCTCACCCCTCACAATCACCACCGTGAACCACACACCATTCCTCTAACACCACTTGCTTTTTCACTCCTTGGGACCTTTGCATATGCTTCCCCCCCTTTTCCTGGAGTACTTTCCCTGGCTCTATTGCCAACACCCCAGAAGCTTTCTGTGACCCTCTCTCCCTTGTGTATAGCACTAGGCTGGCCTTTCCACATTGTAGCATTATCATGATCTGCATGATAATGTTTAGATGTCCTCTGGTGGTCCAGCTGGTCTTCAGTTCTCAGAGGAAAGGGGGTCTTTGTCAGCTAGACAGAGTCTCCAAAGGGTGTCTTCTATGTGGGCCCTTTCGAGTTATAAACCCTCTCATTCAATGAACGTTTTCTGAATGCCAATAAAGAGCTAGCGAGGGCCTGGGCTAGGTGCTGGGGGGCCAAAGAATGTGATCTGGTCCTATCTTTTCACTAGTCACAGGCACATAAACATTATCGTGGGGATCATGATAATGCTACAAGGTGGAAAGGCCAGCCTAGTGCTATACACAAGGAAGAGAAGGTCACAGAAAGCTTCTGGGCTGTTTGCATATGCTTCCCCCTCTCCAGGAAAAGGCGAGGGGGAAGCATATGCAAAGGCCCCCAAGGAGTGAAAAAGCAAGTGGTGGTAGAGGAATGGGGTGTGTGATGATGAATGTGAGGGGTGGAGGGGAGTGACCATGTGGAGGCTGGGAAGGCACAGGGAGCCTGATCTGCAGGTGGTGCAGCAGGTGGTGCTGTGTGCCCTGCTTAGGAGTTACACTGATTCTGGAGGGGTAGTGGGGGGGAATGAAGGGTCATTGAAGGACTTTAGGTAAGAATGGAATCATGGAAACTGGACTTCTCAAAGATTATTTTAGTGTCACTGTATGTGGAAGACACATTGGAGGGAGAGACGGGAGGCAGAAGCCCCATTGGAACAATCTATCAGCCAAGTGAGAGATGATAAATACCCTACCCAGCTCTTGTGTGAGGTCGTCAAATTCATTGATACATAGACTGGAAGAGATTAGAATCAGTGACATATATGTCCTATCCACTCCCGCCTCTACTCCTCCCACCTGTCCAGGCCCCGGGACTTTCCATCACAGTTTCACACCGTCTTACAATTTTTATTTTATTTTATCAGGGTTCCCCTTCTCTCAGAGACTTGTCTTCTCTCCTCCCACCTTCTCTCCTCCTGCCTTCTCTCCTTCCGACTTCTCTCCTAGTCATCTTTCCAGGCCCCGCATAGCAGTCCCTTCCCAGCTGGCCCAGCCCCCAGCTGCTGCTCCATCTGGGACCTGGAACCCCATTTCCTGGTGTAACCCAGGAGTGTCTGGACCCATTGGCCTATCCCGGCTCTGGCCCCCTGAACTGGCTCCTAGGGCCCTATTGCTTCTCTCCCTCCCTCAGAAATACACTGGGGAGATCCTTTGCTTTGGACCAGGGTGCAAAGTTAGAGGCTGGGTCATCCCTAGGGGCCTCAGGCATGGGAGGCAAACCTTAGCCTTGACCTTTCTGTAGCCCCAACGCTAGCCTTGGGCTGTTAGTCACCACTCTGATGGCTGCACTCCCATAGGGGTCTCTGCTTTAGAAATGCGTGCGCTAGCATTTTGTTAGTTGACTGGTACACATGTACAGGCATTTAAAAAAATAATTATTCATTATTGAAAGTATTACATATGTTCCCCTTTCCCTCCTCCCCCATTAACCTCTTTTAGCCCGCCCTCCCACCCCAAGCCTTCACCACCCTATTGTCTGTGTCCATGGGTTATGCATATCTGCATACAAGGTCTTTGGTTGATCTCTTTCCACCCGCTTTGTGAACTGTCCTATCTTCAAGAAGGCACCTTTCTCCTTTTAGCTCCTCGATCCCCAGAGCAAACTGTTATAACCGCAGGCAGGCCCACCGCTCCCCACCCCTTTCCTCATTAACACTTCCTCCTGAGGTGCAAGGGAAGCTGTTTGCTGCAGAGGCAGACAGAGGCTGTGCCGAGTTAGGGCGAGGCTGCTTTGGTTGGCTCCCTCCCTGCTGGGGGAGGGCTGGAGGGTCTGAAACACACCCAGCCAGGCCCTGCCTTTCACAGAGGCCTCCGCCCCAGGAGTCTTGTTGGCAGGGCTGACTGGTGGAGGAAGAGTATAGAGTTAGTTCTGATTTTGAGCTGTCTGGAGAGCCGGAAGCAGAGAGGATGCCTTGATCACAGGCTGGGAGCTCAGAGAAGGCAGGGAGAACAGACTAGCAGAATGGAAAATGCGCAGGGCTACCTCTCTGTCTCTCTCTGGGGTCCCAGGACCCTGGAAGTGGGTTGGCAGATCTACTCTAGGCCAATCATAACCCCTCCCCCCCACCACACACACACCTGTGGGGATCCAGTGCAGCCCCTCACTGAGCTCTCCAGGGGAAATTTGCTCAAGTCTGCCCCTTCCTATGCTTTCCTCTTTAAAAAAATAAATAAATAAAAAAAATAAAAATTAAAAAAAAAAAAAAATATATATATATATATATATATATATATATATATATATATATATTATTGATTCTTAACAGAGCGAGGGAGAGGGATAGAGAGCTAAAAACATCAATGAGAGAGAAAGATCGACCAGCTGCCTCTTGCACACCTCCTACCGGATGTGCCTGCAACCAAGATACGTACCCTTGACTGGAATTGAACCTGGGACCTTTCAGTCCACATACCGACGCTCAATCCACAGAGCCAAACTGGTTTCAGCTCCTTATACCCTTCTAAATCATTACCTCATCCTGAAATCATACCTGTTATTGAAGGCACGGGGGAAGGATCGCATCCATCCCACCTTTCTGAACTGTTCATAGCACAGATAAACCTGCACTCTCTCACGGCGCCCAGTGCTTTCCTGCACCATCTCCCAGCTCACCCCGTGGCCTTTTCCCGCAGGCTACTCCCCTGCTCTCTGCAGACACAGAATCTCTAATTCTAAGAGACAGTCCTGGCAGACCCTTGGCCTAGTCACCATACTCTCCCACACAACCTTGGAATGAAAGCACAGAGCACATTCTTTTGTCTCTGGGAGATAAGGCCATCCCGGGTGAAGTGCTGCTCATCCTGGTGGCTACAAATCTGGGTGGATTCATGTCTCAGAGGTTCCAGAATGTTTAG